CTAACATCACATCACCAGGCCCTCTATCATCTAAAACTTGTATTCACGCAATAGATTTCTTACTGTACTCCCTAACTCTTTATAACCTCCTCCCTTTCACTTCCAGCTCTACTTCATATTATACATTATGAAATGAATTAAAAGTAATTTTTTGAGACAGATTCAGACTGGGCTTGAACTCACTATGTAGCCCAGACAGGCTGGCCTGAACTCACTGTGATGTTCCTGCCTCCATTTCTGGAGGTAAAATTAATTTCTATACCAATTTTTTATCAAAACAACTCCATTGCTTTTTATTTGATATTTAAATCTCAAACTATAGCAATTGGTAATTTTAATATTTTTCCTAGAAAGCCCCTAACAAATTTTACCTTTAACATGGGCTGGATCTCAACCTGTTGACCTCCCTGTCCCCAAAATATACTCAATTTGCCCCAGCTATGTTTCTGCTTGCACTCATTCTCTTACCTAAAGTAGTCCCTATTTCCCTCTACCCTTCCAAATTCTAACCATTTTCCAAAGCCTAGTTTACTTCTTTCTCTAAAGAAGTGTTCTCTCATTGATTTGTCAATTTTTTTTGAATTACCCAAATCTACTTCCTTTTCAATTACAGTATGTCCTACTTACATGGTTCTCTAAGCATCATTATGTATTAGTTGTATTTTAATCTTCAGGATTAGGAACCACACCTGGATATTGTTTTATACGGGACATCTGGCTAGCATAGCTCTCCTACTAAGCCCTTAATGAATACTAAACTGTACTGTAGGGGAATGTGACCTACAATTAAGCTGAGTAAGACAGAAAAACCAATCTGGCAATAAAGTGCAGACACCAAGGGCAAACACCAAGTTAAGACCAGTCATATGCAAAGAAATTATTTACTTAGACATGTGCCAGTAATGGTAATACTGAGGCACATATCCACACACAGACCCAAGGGAGTATGGTAGAAAATAGCATAATCAAAAAGTTACTTTTCAAAATGTTTCAGTTGAATATTGCCTCATGGAATTCAGAAATACAAATCAAATATATTTCAGATTGCCTGCATATTTTGTGTGTATGTTCTCTTTTTCTTAACCACAATAGCTGCAAATTTTGAATGTACTCCTCTATTTAGTCAACAAAGGATAAAAGGTCAAATAACCTGGATTTAAATCCAAATCAACCATTTTTGCCTGTGCAAACGTGAGCACATTACTTAACCTCAGAGGTCTCAGGATAGTTGTAAAAACCAAAGGACATAACATGAAAATCCTTTAAAAGCTATAAACTGCCAGACAGATCTTACAATAATCAGAAAAGAAAAACAACTAGTGACAAAATTTAGATTTTTGCACTGACTGCTCTTCTTAGAGATCACACTTGCATAGACACTGTCCCCAATTTGTCTCAATGGCTTCTTCTTCTATGATATACTTTTGAAAACTACACACATACACACGCACACACACTTTCCTTAACACTATTTCAATTACTATGATCTAGAAAATATACCTTCCTCTATTAAGTAGGTTGCATGTGAGTAAGGTGAGACAATGACTAGGCTTCTCACCAATCACAGCCTCTTCTATGCTGGGAATATCCAATTAATGAGTTGAGACAATGAAAAGTAAACCAGTTAGAGTTTTTATACTTTCTGATTCAAAACTTACTACAAAGGTACAGTAATCAAGACTATGTGCACTGGCAGAAATATAGATTAATGGAAAAGAACTAAGTTAAACAATTTTTAAATTTATGATCTACTGATTTTTCACATGAGTATCAAAAGAATTCTATAAGGAAAATAGTCTTTATAACAAAAGGTGATAGGATAATGCGTATACACAAGCCCAAAAAAACGAAGTTGCACTCCTGTCTCAGACCACATACAAAATTTAACTCAATGGGGATCAGAAACCAAAATGTAAATGCTAAAATTATAAAATTCTTAGAAGAAAAATACAGACACAAGTCTTGGCTTTTAATTAGGAAATGGTTTCCTAAGTATGACACCAAACATATAAGCAAAATCAACTAAAATAAATCAGAGCGCTTCGAGAAAAAAAACTTTTGTCCTTCAAAGGTCACTGTTAAGAAAGTAAATAAAAAACAGACAGGTGCATGTGGCCCATGCCTATAATCCTGGTTATTCAGAAGGCTATAATTAGTTTGAAGCCAGCCTGGGCAATTTACCAAGACCCTATCTCAAAATAAAAAAATTAAAAGGGTTGGAGATGTAGCTAAGAAGTAGAGCACTTGCCTAGCATGTGTGAGACCCTGGGTTCAATCTCTGGCCCTGTTTAAAAAAAAAATAGAAAAGGAGTAAAAACACCCCAAAAATGAGGGAAAAAATTTGTAAATCATATATCTGATATATAGGATATCTATCCAAAATATATAAAGAACTCTTACAACTCAACATTAGAAAAGACAACACAAATAAAAATGGACAAAGAATCTAAAAATTTCTTCAAAGAAAATACGCAAATAGACAATACCCAAGGCACTTAAGTAGTAATTGTGGCCAACAGCTCAGCACCTCTAACTCAGCTAGTGGTATGAAAACATTTATGGAGCTGCAGAGGCCTCAGAATAGAGCCTCTGCAAAATGTCAAGGGTTAGTTATGATATCCAACATAAGAGTTGAGGCCAAGCAAAATATATTCTATTTAGGGCTTCTGGGAGCGACTGGATCATGGGTGTGTGATACTGGATTAGTCCACTGATTGGTTTAGCATAGTTCTGGGTGTGGATGGTGGACTTACTGAAGTAAGAAGGGAGTTAAAATGAACCGGATGGAATAGAAAGGGAAAAAAGAAGGCTCGCTGCCTCCTGCCTGCCTTGCCATCAGTTCTTTCTCCTCTGCAATGCCTCTCTGCCATGCTGGCCTGTGTTGGAGCCAGCAGACTATGGGCTAAAACCTCTACAAGCTGGGAGCTAAAAGCACCCTTTCCTTCTTTCACTTGTGGTGTTGGTTATTTTGTCCCAGCAACAAGAAAGTAACTAAGACATAAAGACCCTCTATTGCCAGAAGGACCTGGCTTCTAAAGCAGACTTATTAGTGATCCAGTCCTCAGACCACATGTGGATTTCCTTGCAAATTCCCATAAACCCCAATATTAACCAAAGTAGGTATCTTTCCTAACACTGAAGCATTTGTTACATATGACTTCTACATTTGAAAATCAAAAACCATTATTTGTATTTTGATTTATTTCTAGAGTCCACAGAGGAGTTAGCAATGCTATCACTCACTAAACTCAATGAAAAAGGCAATCTCCAAATTTCACATGACACCAGTTAAACTTTAAAGAGAACTATAGTTGAATTCATACATGCTTATAATATTGGTTTAATAAAGGTTAAGTTACTACCCATAATGAGTCAAAGCTAAATTACACTACTCAGTGTATAAAGTATTAGAAAATAAAATAACTGCTGGGTATAGTGGCACATGCCTATAATCCTAGCATTCAGGAGGCTGAGGGAGGAGGATCACCACAAGATCAAGGCCAGCCAAGGCTACATAGTGAAGTTTAAGGTCAGCCTAAACTATAAAATAGACCCTGTCTCAAAAAACCAAATCAATCAATCAAAAGATCTAAGGACAAAAGTTATAGTCTACACTGCATGATATATATGGACTCCATTTATCAAAATGGGTCTTAAATTCATTAAAACCAACCACATGTATTTTGTTGTCAAAATTTAAGCAAAAAGCGCATCAAGTACATAATTTACCAATTCAGTTGTCTGAATAATGTTACAAAAATAATGTAAGTTTATTTTTTAAAAAGATTCACACCATAACACAAATACTATTCTCAAAAATAATTTTTTTCTTAATTCAAACCAATATCCACACAAATCAATCCACCAAAAGCTAAACAATGATCAGAAGCAGCTCTGATAAAAGTTTTGCATGACAAAAAGTCTCACATTAAACAGTCTTACCTAACAAAAAATATTTATTCTACTTGAGTGAAATATTCTTTGAAAATTACTGGATGTTTCGGTACTGTACACTGACTCTCATGTGAAAACCATATTAGATTCACCACAAACATAAGCCTTATTAGAATTTTTCCTGCACAAAGTAACTCTGAAGTAGCCATTTATCAGTACAGTATAATCATCTACAGAATTTTCACTTTCATTAATATAGTTAGCTTTGTTTTCAACATGAAAATAAGATCAGTAGAATCTGATCTTAAATCTAAATTCTACCTCCATTCAATGTTAGAAATATTTTCATTTTATTTGCCTTTTCACCTTTAATCCATAAGATTATCAATTCAACTATAAAACTCCCGTTTTCCTGGTTCCAACATTGAGCTCATAACAAAACAAAAATATATGTCTTAAAATAGTAAAACAGCCATCTTCCAACTATTGCACAGGGATATTTTTCTCCTCTTCCTCTATACACCTACAAATCATTATAATCATTTCCAGGCAAACACTTATTTTCTCTAAGTGAAAACTGACCAGAAAATTGGGGTATGTGATCATAAAGGGAGAGAGTGTTTTATATTTAACATCATTGCCTCAAGTCACCCTGATTTGATCACAACCAATGACCATAAGCAATCACATAAAACCATGAAAAAACACTGTATAATATTCTTGTACTTTAAAAAATAAATTTCCAACAAAGCAACTGAATAATTATCAAATAGTGAATATTTTAGCTACACTATTACTCTATCATTAAAGAGATCATTTAAGTTGTCTTCCACTAAAAGATATTTGTATCTGTTACCCTGTAATTTCATCATCTTATTATTAATGCACTATACTACCTTTGGTAACTCCACTCTACCATGACAAACATACTTGTTGAAACTCCCATTTCTGTGCAGAAACAACAACCACCACCACTGTTTTCTACAGTCATTTAAGTCCAAACCATAATGACATTTTTATTCATTAAACTACAATTACACACCAGACCAACAGTGTAAATGTTATCTTCTGCAATGGATATACAATGACAATCAGTAAGTACTTACCTACAGTTGGGAGGAGGGTCCAAAGTAATTTCTGCAAGTTCCTTCTGAATTCTTTAAAATAAAGATAAATGAAGTTATGTCAAAATATCTTCACTCTTAATATTAATCTTTCATTAAAATGTATTTTAACAGTAACATTTTTCCTCTTGTATGTTTCTAATATACTAACATTGTATAAAGCATCATATACAATAACATTAATAATTTCTGCCAGTTTTTAGGATGTACCTACAGAAAGTGATGAGACTGCCCACTATCAGCGCATGCAGATTGCAGAAACAAACAACTTCATCACACCACTGTTAGCACTAACCAAAATTTCTAATTTAAATAAACATTTACCAAACTATTTAGGGGTCATTCTAATTCTGATTTGTGTTGGAACATCTCCATATAGAATAGAAAACTGATGATATTAAGTGAATCCAAGCATACCAACTAATCCAATCAACTGAATGAAGAAAGGAACATCAGGATCTCATTCCAGCATCTGAAACTACCACCAAAATAAGTATGATATTAGCCAGGTGTGGTAGCACATTTTTGTAATTCCAGCACTAGGGAGGCTGAGTCAGGAGGATCATCACTAGTTCAAGGCCAGCCTCAACTACACAGTGAGAGCCTGTCTCAAAAAAATAAAATAAAAATAAATAATAAGGATAATGAAAATAAAATAAGGATGATATTCCTTCCTGAATACTTCAGTCTTTCAAGTTGATGCTATCCCTTCTGCTAGAAACATCTTTTTTTTTCCTTTTTTTGGTACCGGAGATCGAACTCAGGACCTTTCTCTTGTGAGGCAGGTGCAGTGCCACTGAGCTAAATCCCTGGCCCTAGAAATATCTTAATATTACAAGAATAACTGTTTTAATATCATTGCATGACCTTCATACAAAGAAAGAAAAAAACCTGTTTCTTTTCCATGAGTCGGAGTTTGTTTGTGTGTTTGCTGAAAAGTGTGCTGGGGATTGAACCCAGGGCAACATGCATGCTAAGCACAGGCATTATTGCTGATTTTATTTTTTATTTTGATTTTTAACTGCATCTAACACCCTATGAATACAAAGGCTAACAGTGCAACACTATTTTCTAAGACTACACTTAAACTCCTATCACTCATGTCTTAGTAAGTTTTGTTAAATTAAACATGCACACACAAAAATTCTCAATCTAGCTTGCATGAAGCTCTGGATTCAATACCCAACACAAAAAACAAATTCTCACAAGTACTGCTTTTCCTTTGATTTGCTCTTTAAATACGAGATTATTAACAGCTGGATGCCTGTCGTCTGATAATTACTGTGGACAGTATATGAATGACAGCGGACTAAAGCACCTTAAAAAATCTGAAAAAAAATTTATGCTAAATTTCATTCTGTACCTTTGTTAATACAACACAGGGAAATACTACAAAAAAAGGGGACTGCTCCAATGGGAATGTTACCAACTTCCTGAAGGACTGCATGCTACCCACTATAAATTTTCACTTCTCTGCATCATGTGATTCAAGGTTGGAGAGATATTATGAGTCAGAACAAGACTAAAAAATTGCAAGAGAGGGCCTGAGATTTAGCTCAGTGGCACTGCACCTGCCTGCCTCACAAGTGCAAGGTCTTGAGTTCAATCCCTGGCACCAAAAAAAACCCCCAAAAAACAAAAAAGATAAAAAATTGAAAGACAAAAAAGTTCATGTTAATTCTGTTATGTCATTAATTGAATCCATGGGCGAAAAATCTGTGTGCCTCAGTTTTCTATCCTACAAAATAGAGAATTAGAACAAACTCCATGATCTCTTTTTATCTTTAACTCACTATGATTTCCTTTTAAGACAGATTCTTAATAGGCTTACATGCATAGAAGTACATATGGCCCATAACTAAAAGACAAGAAGTTTCAAAAAAGAAAAAAAAAGATTCAAAAAATCTGAGAGAGTAGAATCCTATTACGGATTTCACACAAAAGTATAAAACAGGCACTTCAAAACTAAATCAATAAATCCAAGTTAAAGATGGCAAAATAAGCACACATATATTCATCTCCATTCAGGAGCACCTCCTACCATGTGAGATGCAAAAAGAAATAAACAACAGAGAGGGTGTGGCAAGTGGGTATATGACAAACAGCTTATAACAAAAGGGAACTACAGAATGTATATAGGACATGAGGTTTGAGGGAAGGGGAAGTCAAAAATCCCCCCCCCAAAAAAAAGCCATGCAAGAAAATCACAGATTTTTCAAATAAAAATAATAATCTTAATGAAGTAACAGATGGGGGTGTAATCTACTTTGCCTATCTTGCTTAAGTGCTGTGACTCACTGGACAGTCCAGGGAACACCACACTGGACTTGAAGGAAATCCGAACCTAACGTGTTACTTGGTCTGGCTTTGACAATTTCACAGTGACACAATTTATTGGTCTTTTACTTACAAAGCTAAGGACGGGCTATAGTTATACTATACAACGTAAATGTTACCTTAAAAAATGGAAATGTGAAATTAAGTGTAATGAAAAGTTGGTTAAAATGGATGAAAGGAGAGCAGTAAACATATAAAAAAATGAAAGTATTAACATCTCAATTTTTCAAAGTAGAGAATCAGAACATACTGCTGAAATTTCCAAGAAAAAAAATACAAGCTTAAATATAGGCTTTGGAGTATAAAGACAACTGGTATTCATTTTAAAAAAATGTAACTACCATAAAAACATCGAAGAAAAAAGGAAGGAAAAATTAGGTAAATTTCAGAGCAAGGAGTCAAAAGATATTTGATTATTCAACAAATACAAAATAAGTACATTATATAGAGTTATGCAGAAAACCAACAGAAAGACTAAAACTAGAGACAGGAGTTTTCTTTAGGGAAATGCAATTAGGACTGCTGGTGGAACAGGGATGGACAAAAAACTATTGCTTTCCATTAAAAGTTTTCTGTACTGTTTTATTTGTTATGAGAAACAAGTAATTTTTAGAAATAATTTTTAAACAGAAAAAAAAGGGAATTCAAAAGAACATGTTTAAATTGTCAAAAAAGAAAAAACATTTTGGGGATGGGGAGGTAGCTTAGTGGTACAGCATTTGCACAAGGCCCTGAGTTCAATCCTAAGTGGGAGGGAAGAAGGGGAAGGGGAGGGAGGGAGGGGGAGGAGAAGGGGAGGGGGAGGGAATGGAAAGGGGAGGGGGAGGGGAAGGGAGGAAGATCAAAAGGAAGGAAGGAAGCAAGCTGGCTGGCTATTTTTTAAATGAAAGAATGTCTCTGGAATTTTCAAATAACTTGGCTTGCTTTATGCTTATTCTTCTCTTTTTAAAAAATGATAAATCATAATTTTCTGTCATAAAATTCTAATAGAATTTGAAGCATTCCAGACCTATATTATTCAATGCAGAAAGCAATTTACTGATAAATTCTACAACTCTGAGCAATGAGCCAATATATTATATTTTGAGCCATTAGCACCTAGGAATAGTTGCATTTCTTTGACAGAAATTATACTAAGTATTGCTATCTAAATGGTTGCAAAATGTCCTGCTGTTTTCAATGACAGCAATTCAATCTATCTCAAAAGTTGTGATCATGGTATGTACTGTTTTCTCAGTCTTCACATGTAGGATAAGGAAGCTACTTCAGTTACTGTCCCTCAAGGTAAGGAAAATTTAAGTATCAATAATTCACATTTATAATATATCTTCACATGATGACCTTAGATCAGTGATGGCAAATGTTTTAGAGATCGAGTACCCAAAATGCAACCCAAAACCCACTTATTTATTGTAAAGTACCACCAGGGATTTAGTCAAGTGGCACGACACCTGCCTTGCAAGCGCAAGGTCCTGAGTTCGATCTCTGGTACTGGAAAAAGCATTTGACAAAGTTCAACAATATTGCAAAGTACCAACACTGCAATTAATACTGAGGTTTTAATTTAGGAAAAAACCTGTTATCTGATGCAAGCTGCTGGGGCAACTTGGCTCAAGTGCTGAGAGAAAGGGCTCTGCGAGCCTGCATGCAGTGCCAAAGATTCGCCACCACTGCCTTAGAAAATGAAAAGTGAAATAAATCTGAGACTTTTCTAACTATAACTGTTTTATCAGTGCTCATTTAAAAGATAAGAAAACTGACACTAGTCATTTCATACAGGTAAGGTGAAGACTCAGAAAATTCTATTCTAGCCAGACGCGATTGTGCACACCTGTAATCCCAGAACTTGGAAGGCTCAGGCAGGAGGATCACCTCAGGCCAGCCTAAGGTACATAGTGAGTTCAAGGCCAGTGTAGACTAAATAGTGAGACCCTGTCTCAAAACACTAAAAATAAACTTTCTTACCAGAAGTTTTAAGACAAAAATTTTTTGGACATAAGTTAACTAGACAACTGTCTATATTCCAACTTCCATTAGGTACAACTACAGTTTATTCCCATAAAAAGCTGCACACAGCGAGACCAGTCAGGAGTGAATTATACACTAAATTTCAGCTTATATGACTGCACCTAATACTTTAACTGAATGAAAGAGCACTGTAAAAGCACTTTGTGGGGCTATCACTTGTTTAAAAAAGGGAGGGGTCATTACAATCATAACCCACTCTAAATTAACTAAACACTATCACACAGAATGAAGATATGAAGCATGTATTTTAAAATCAATATACTGGATTAATGATTCAGAAAAATGAAGCAGTATATATGCACAATGCACAAACACACTGCACACACACACAGACACACGAATCTTGGGTTAAAGAAAATTCAGTAGTAAATCATTCAGAGCCGAATTGAAAATGAATGTGTAAACATTGAGATACATAAAAGTGGTATCTTAGTAGTTATTTAAAAAAAACAAAAGCTTCAACATACCACATCTAGATGGTTTTCTATATTCTTCTATGGACTGAATCCATTAGTCACCTAAGAAACCCCATCCTATGCCACTGAATCAATTTTTCTAAAATCAACTATTCTCAAGAAAGCATCATACAACTACTCATTACCACTGCATATAATGCTAAAGTTTAATTTTGAATGATGATATGTACTATATACCTGTCATTGTAAAGA